CTTTCTATATTTTTGTATTTGTATTTTATTTCATTTTTTGTTACCTTGTTTGTTCCTTAGTTTGTATTTTTGTCATTCTTTTTTCTTTTCTTTCTTCTTTCTTTCCTTCTTTCTTTCTTTCTTTTTCCTTTCTTTCTTTCTCTTATTTATTTCTTTTTTCTTTCTTTCTTGCCTCAATTCTTACCTCAATTCTTGCCTCATATCTTTCATCTTTCTTTAGTTTTTCTTTTTTCTTTTCTTTCTTTCTTGCCTCACTTTCTTCCCTTTTTCTTTCTTTCTTTCTTGCTTGCTTGCTTGCTTGCTGTTTCATCATATTTTTAATTATTATGTAATAATTACAAACATGATGAAACAACACTCAAAAGCATAATAGGTAGAAATGTTAAACTCATTAATAATAATAAACAAGTTAATTTCATCATATATTATAAAAAAATTAAACAATTGACCACATAGTCTGTAATAACCCTACAACCACACGATTAAATCCTCTACAAAAACAATGTATTCTATCAATTTACATGCCTGTTCAGAGATTGTATCTCTGATACTAATAATAAACCCACTACATATATTGGTTTAACTACAACCACCTTCTCCCGTAGACTTACCTGCCACCTTACTGATCTTAGTTCTATTAAACAACATTTCTTAGAAAAACATAGCCATGTACATAATAATAATAGACATTAGTTGAATAGTCACACGTACACACAGTAAAAAGAAACTTCAGATATTGGAGGCCATCTACATTAAAACAAAACAACCCAAACTCAACAAAATTACAGTTCAAACTAGTCACAACACATTATATTGCATCTAGACATATGGTACTGTTGTTAATATTTCGGCCTCTCACATGATACGACGTTATAGAATCGCATCATGAATTTACGACCTGTTACGTCTGTTATTCTGCGGCCGTTATCTTCTCATAGCAATTTTCCATTTCAACATAACAGAATATCATATTTGATGATGAATATCTTTGTTAAAATGTCCGTATAACCACTCTGAAGATGGCTCATGTCAGCCAAAAACTTAGATCAAGGAACAGCATAATAAAAATATATCAAAATTTTGGACAGTTTTTGTCTTTATTTTCTCCCGAAATTAAAGCAAAAAATACGGCTCATAATGAAACATAATAGACATTCACTGTCTTTTATATTTGACAATATATGTTCAAATACACACACATTCACACACACACACAGACATATATATATATATATATAGATATATAAAAGAAATGGAGCAAATACGACAAATATGTAATATATTTCCTAGTATAGACAAATATATGTATATTAAATACATACTAAATAATACTAAAATACTAATATAAAATATGTATAATTATTATTATATTTAATATAATATATTACAATATATTATATTATATCTTATTTAATATAATTTCATTTTATAAATAATATAATTTAATTTACAAATATTATATTTAACATAATATTAAATATAATAATTAATATAATATATATATATACTTATATTTATAAGTTTAATAAGTTTTTGTGAAAATAATGCTGGCGACTTTTTATTAAGCAAATAAAAAGTAATACACAATTCAGCTGCAAGATTACAGTTTTTTTTTTTCTCGCACTTCTCGCTTCTAGAACATACTTCCGGTTTCTCGCTTTCCAGTCAACTTCGCTTTTCAAAACTTTAAATTCGATGCCACTCCTCATATTCTGTCTTCTTAATTCCTCGTCTTTTACTTTTCTCTCTCCTTCATAAAATTTTCTTTTTCTCATATTCTGTCATACCTAGCGTCTTAGCGTCTTTATTACCTTGCTTCGGGTGAAATGATTATATGCACGCATTAATTATATCACTTGCACTTCAAGAGAGCGTCTCCTGTAGTGAATGATATTTTATTGAATGTTGGCGGCTTCTTTGTATAATAATAACTTCTAGGGTTTGAGTTCAATATTTAATATTGATTTTTGATTATTTGTGTTAGATATGCAATCTTCCAACGACATGTGAATTCATAGACCAAATTATTTTTTTTACATTGGATGGATTTATAAGGCCCAAACAATTCAGAACTTTGTTTTATAATGGTCCTAAGGAAACAGAATGTTGCTACAAATTTATTTGAATATATGATTTTATTTAAGACAGAATCGAAAACTTTCGATGAAACTTTCGGATAGACAGGCGAGAACAGCGCTATACGATCTTTCTGGAATGAACGGTCATTAATCAATGTCCCTATTTCCGTATGCGTTTCAGGGTCAGAAACACTAAGGTGCAAGCACAGTTTTGCAGTTAAGAAGAATTTTCACTGTGAATCGAATCGAAATTGGCTTTGACGAAGAAAAAGAGAAAAAACATGGCGGCGAAAGGCGTTGGATATGTTACGGCTTCTCTCAGATTATCTCTTCGCCTAGAACTTTACAGTTACTGGCGCAAAAGAAGGGGGGAGTTAAGATAAAGGATATGAAAGTTCCTGGGGACTTCCCACTGAAGCTGGTGGCTTTTGCTCCAGAATTAACTGGCATTAGTTTGGTTAGATTAGAGTTTGTGATCAGGGTTACAATCGCTAGTCGTTTTTAATTTTCTTTTGATTAAGATTAATGTGAAACTTGACGACAGTGCTGCTCGCTGAGGTCTGTGTACGCGATACACTCGTAATGCAGTGGTATACGCGAAAATAATGACACTTATGGCGTTTAGGGGAAAGAATATAGCAATTTAGTGGAGATATTTATACAATATTTCGTGTGTGAAATACATGAAAAAATGCAAGTATCATATTGTCCCATACAATTAATCTGTTGAACAAACAAAACTAGAAAATAATGTCAAGTTTTAAAGATTTTATATATTTGTCGGTTTCATAATCGAAACACATTTCTAAATTTCCAACACAATGTTCGTAATTGAAACACATTTTGAGGTTTCCAACAAAATGTTTATAATCGAAACACATTTCTAAGTTTCCAACACAATGTTTTCAATCGAAACATATTTCGTGGTTTTCAACACATATATAAAAAAAAGTACCCGAAATGTAATTGAAGAGCTTGATTCAAACAAGACTAAAATTTGCCTATTGTATTTCGTTGTTCTATCTCATTTTGAATGAAAGAAATCTCAACCGACCGAGTCACAAAAGATTCACACTTTCTCTCATCTATAGTAAATCTTTGATATTTAGTACCTAGTTCTAATTCTAGTAATAACAGTAAATGGAAATTAGTGGAGATTATTCCATAAAGTATTTCATTATTATTTTTCAACCATTTTCCCATTGCCTACGTCATAGTGTTAGACACGGTGATCAAATTCAGAATAGAAGGAGACATTGGTAATATTAACCGTTTCATAATTTATTGACCGAGCAGCCAGTGTTATTGTCAGTAGAAATTTATAAAATAATTCTCTTCAAACAATTATTTAGGAAATTCAGTCAGTCAGTTGTGTGCCATGCGTGATACACGCTTAGGCCATCATATATCTTTCGATACATGACTCACGAAGCAGTTTTTACCGCAGTAGGTTGCCATTTCTTTCTACGGTAGACCACCCGGTCTGTTCTGCTATTTACCCATACCTGGGGTGGGGGAGAAGAGGAGGATTCATACCTTTCCCAAGCTATTAGCACGTAAGTAATTACACGAATGTAATGGATTCGACTGGAATTCGAACTAGGCTCTCCGATTCCTCAATCCGAGCCGCTATCCATTACTCCCCCGCGCCTCTCATAATAATTCCAGTAACTGTTATCGCTCTTTTCAGTATTGACGTGGGCTTCCTATTTAACCTTTAACGTTTGAATTATACACTACTTCAAGCAACAATATCAACATCTTAATTATATCATTATTTTCTCTTCGAGTTATGTTTGCTATCCATTTTAGTTGTTACAGCTTTTGAAAGTTCTTAAGTGATGCAGTTTCTATTTTTTTGTAGTTCTTTGTGAATCTATAACGCCAGACGAAAAAGAAATGGGGAAGGATTTTTTTTAACTTGTGATTTACTTATTTAAAAGCGTATTATACAGTTGATATATTAGATATTTCTGAACGGATACTGTTATTGTGTTTGTGATTCTGTAGTCCTTAATGTTTGAATAAGGATTATTTGTCTATATCTCTGAGATGAGGTATTATGATTATTTACATTATTTACATTATTCGGACTGTTATCCTCATCTTCATTACTATATTCACAACGTTTCGGCCGTTGTACGCTCCGGCCTTCTTCATAATGGCGTTGGTTAGATCCAGTAACTAGACCCAAAGAGCTGTGAGTTCAATACCAGGCTACAGCAGTGGTGAAACAAAAAATTCGGAGAGTTAAACGGAAACATCCGTTTCTGGTTCTCCACAACTTCCTGTTTTTGTAAGATTATCTATTTTAACAACTGTTTACTTTCTTCTTCAGCTTGGCTTTTACTGAATTTTCTGTAGACTATATGGAAGTTTTGGCATCATTAGGCTATTTAAGAATATGGCTCTAGTTAAAGTTTTGCCTTAGTAGCAACTTGCGGTATTGGGCGAAACTACCTCCCGTTCAATTCCCTTATCTCCTATATTAAATTTGTCATAAATCGGTGACACACTGAAGTATTTGTAGTGTTTAATATTTATTAATTCCACATTCTGAATTTTATGATGAATTCATGGTACGTGTCATCATTGTTTAAGGTTCTCCTCGACTTCCTGTTTTTTGTAAGATTAACTATTTTAACGATAGTATACTTTCTTTTTTTAGCTTGGCTTTTACTGTATTTTACGCAGACCCCGTTGGCCCAACCTTAATTCTGTGGCACATCGGATAGATATAAGATTCTCCGCTGATGGCTTCAGTCTTGTTAACTTGGCTAATATCCAACTCAACAACTTTCCTAGGCCTTCCTCTGGACGTTCCTTCACTGGATGTTCGATGTGTGCCCGCTTAAAACTTGACACAACTCTTCCATCAGTCGGAAGTAGACGCAAACGTTGAAGAGATGCGGCGTACGAGACTTAGGGTAGGGGTGGAATGAAACGAGATGAGTTCGGGGTAGTTGGATGGTGAGATGTGTGGGGAGCTGTACTCAAAGGGTTTTGTACGATTTGGACAGGGAAACGTAAAAAAGAAGAAGAAATGAGAACGGAGAGACCAGGTGGGAAATATCTGTGCAGATTGTGGAGTAAATTAGCATTTGGAGGAGAGAGAGGAAGTAGTATAATAAGAGAGGGGGTGAATGAAAAGAAGAGGAGAGCATAAAGAATGTATCGGAAGAGCAAAGAAGAGGAAGAAAAGAAGCTATGGAAGTAAGAGGGGAGATAGAAAAGAGCATGGAAAAAGAAAAGAAGGTAAAAAAATGGAGAACAAAACAAAGTCAAAGAATCTCTGCAAGAAGGAGAAGAGAAGCAGAAGATAATAATGGACAAACGGGAGAAAGTAATAAAAATAAAGAAGAAGAAGAAGAAAAGAAGAAGAAGAAGAAGAAGAAGAAGAAGAAGAAGAAGAAGAAGAAGAAGAAGAAGAAAGAGGAGGAGGAGGAGGAGAAGAAGAAGAAGAAGAAGAAGGAGGAGGAGGGGAAGAAGAAGAAGAAGAAGAAGAAGAAGCAAAGGAGATAGTACGGAAGAAAGAGTGGGAAAAGATTAGCAAGCGAACAAAAAGAAATTGTAAAGGATACAAGGAGAAAGAAAGAAAAAAGAAAAAAGGAAAAGAAGAAGAATGATTGAAAAAGATAAAGAAAATAGATGAGGACGCCATGAAGAAGAAATTAAAAATAAATTTTAAGAGCAGAAAAAAATGAAAGAGCAAAGAAAACGGAAGAAAATAAAGGAATAATAATAACAATAATAATAGCAACAACAGCAACAACAAGAGGCAGAAGCAGAAGGGAAAGAATTTAGGAAATAATGAAAAAGGATAGAGAAAAGGAGAAAGAGAAAATTGAGTTAAATAAAATAAAAAAAGAAGAAGAAAAGAAGAAAAAGAAAAGAAGAAGAAGAAAAGAAGAAGAAGATGATGAAGCAGAAGATAATTATGAAGAAGAAGAGAACTCGCAGAGATAGAAAGAAAATGAAGAGGAACAAAATAAATAGAGAAAATAAGATGGAGAAATAACAGAAAGAAGATGGAGGAGGAAGAGAAATAGACAAGATAGAAAGAATAAAAATGGAAAGTAACAAAATAAAGCAAAAAGAAAAACAGAGAAATAAAGAGAAATGAAAAAAAAATCGCCAAATGGGAAGACAGAAAGAAAGAAAAGAACGACGGTTGATAGAGAGAAAGCGTGGAGGTCAATGAAGAAAGAAAGGCCAAAGAAAATGGAGAAGTAGCATAGATAGAATAAAAAAAAAATGAAAGATTAACTATGAAATAGGGAAATGAAAGGAAAGAAGCAGAAAAATGAAGTGAAAGAATTGGGAAAAGAAGAAGGTGATGAGAAAAATATTGAGAAAAAGAAGAAATTTGAACGTTTATATGAAAGCAGAGAGCGAAAGAAGAAGAGAAAAAAAAGCGAGAAGACGACAACTGATTGGTTAAATCGAATCGACGAAGACTGAAGTCTTGGCGTTGGTGCTGCATTGGATGAAGAAGAAAGATGAGTGATGCCGGAAAGGTTGGCAAGCTGAAGTCGTTCTCATCAGTCTCATCAATGAATGGCTGGTCCAGAAGCGAACATAAGAAAGACGGGCGATTCTTCAATCTTTTCCAAATTCCATTCCTGCAAATTTGTGTCCAATAATCAAGTCTCGGCTAGGGAAAGAGTGAGAGAAGAAAAGAGAAAAAATGATAAAGCCTGTAATGAGCAGCATGTGTAAGATTATTAAATAAGAAGGATTCAGGGAATATATATATATATATATATATATATATATATATATATATATATATATATATATATTGTTTTAAATGTGGTATATTTATAGATGAATAATGCTCAACACCGGAAATAGAAAGTTTATAGATACGGACAGTGCGGACGTGCAAATCAACGCTGCACGCCGAATCTCAGTTTCAGTGTGAGATCGTCAGACCAAGTAAGTTGCCTGATGATCGAAATAAAACATGAAACTTATTTTCACCATGAAAAGTTGATTTCTGTGCACACACACAGACACACACACAGACACACGCACTATCACCACCAGTACCACAACTACCAACCACCACCACCACATCGGATCAAACGACGGTTTATCCTCAAAGGGGAATGCAATTCGAATCCTGCCGGAGGACGTATTTTCTTTAATAAGATTTTAACGAATTTTCAGGCAGGTAGACGATATAAAATACTGTTTAAAATAAACGCATAGTCTATTGAAATATTGGTATGCATTAAAATAACGTTTAACTAATATATATATATATATATATATATATATATATATATATATATATATATATATATATATAAAATAAAACAGACCACTTTAAATTTCCATGTAATAAATTATTTCATCGCAGCCCTTTTAAAAGACTGCGGATCATCAGACTTTACTTTCAAAGGTTGAAACAAAAAAAAAAATAATTTATTACATGGAACCTTAAAGTGGTCTGTTTTTATTTAAATTATTTGCTCTGGATTTACATTGAGCTCTCTGGATTTTATCCTCCTTGGGTTTACCCATACGGATTACCTAATTTTTCATAAACTATATATATATATATATATATATATATATATATATATATATATCGTTGACTCTCCCGCGCCTACCGGGAGCCCTTTTAGGACATATGAGGATCAGGCCACTCACTCCTAGGAACCGACAGACATATATATGATTTGATTCTAGTGGTGATGGTTTTGTGCAGAACCAACCACACGTTTCGAAGAGCCGAATGCAGAGACCTGGTGCATCGTGTGCCACAAGGTCTCCAAACGACCCTCCGCAGGTTTTGAATTCAGAGTTGTCCTTCTCCAAGACCAAGTCTATCCTGGTGGGAGAGGAGAAGAGGATTCTTACTTTTACCAAAGGTATTAGCATGTAAGTGAATGTAACAGATTCGACTGGATTTCGAACTCTGTTCTTTGATCCACAATCCGACCCGCTATCCATTTCTCCACCGTGCCTCCACACACACACACACACACACACACACAGACACACAGACACAGACTCACACACACATACACACACACACACACACACATATATATATATATATTATAAATTGATTTATTTAAAATATGTTTTTTTCGCTACACAGTTCTAACCATGTTTCAAAAATGGAAGCTAAAAGCTACGAATTAATTTTTGTAATTAAATTAAAGACATTAGTTCCATTTCATCCTCAAGCGAATTTGGGAGTAACTTTTAAAATTACTGGGTTTTAAAGACACAGCTAAAATCCTAATTCACGTTTCCAAGGTTACAAATAAATCTAGTTCAACTGGACAAGGGGTGTCTGGGTGTTCATTATGTCTGCATTATTGTATCCGTTATATATATAGTAAAATAAGCATTCAAAGAATAAATCAATAAAGTTTATGTAATTAATGGCGAATTCACTTCGCTAACAGATTACGAAGGTATTAACTTACTGACCAATCGCTAATCAATGCGATCCTTGTTTTTTATTAATTATACAATGGATTAGATGTTCGGCCCATATTGTTCGCAAGGACTTTCTCCTCAATTTGGCTTTCACGAAACAGACTGCTTCTCCAAATTTGACCTCACAAATGATTTCTTTTGAAGATTTCAGCAATTTTGTAAAAGTTAGAAAGGAAATCTTCTTAAGAGTTTAAATCTTAGAATCACTTTGATTAATCATTCTTTTGAACAGGCCAACAGCAGCCAGAAGAAAGTTTATACCATTCATGGACGATTGAGTAATGAGAAAAAAGAAATTCAGGAGTTAGTGGGCCATAGAAGACGCCATGTTCCCAGTTAAAAGAGACAAGCCAACGATAAAAAAAGGGTAAACTGCGTCGTTTATCGACACGCTTATGGTCGCTTGATCTAAGATGTTAAATTTCCAGGTCGACGGATGTAGCATGGAAATGTTTGGTATTTTGGTATTCACATTTTAGCTCGATATACCATAAACGTTAGGATAATGCGATGAACCGGAAGTACCTGATCTTGCTACCGATAATGCCCCATTAACAGGCATATGTAAATATTCGTGCCATCACACAAATCACATTGGCTAAAGATTGAATTTAAGCATTAAACAGACTGTCACCACTTGTTGCTGACCTCAGTGCCCGGTCTTATATATACATACGCTCTATTATTGGTACAGAGCACTTTTACCCATAAATATAATCTACATTAAAACTACAGTTTCATCATCATATATATATATATATATATATATATATATATATATATATAATTTAATGAAAACAGACAACTTTAAGGGTCCATTGGTTATAATTTATTTCACCAGGGATTTTTTTTTTCCTGGCTGATCAGACCACAATTTCAAAGGTTGAAAAATGGATTTAAATTTTATATTTTTTATATATATTTTTATATATATATATATATATATATATTATATATATATATATATATATATATATATATATATATATATATATATATATATATATATATATATATATATATATATATATAAAATAAATAAATGTATCTATCCAAAATTACTTCAAAAGTTATTATTACTGACTACTACTATTTGTAATAGACGCCCCATTTTTATTTTAAACATAAATATTACGGCTATCAGCTTGCACATTCGAAAAACCTTAATAAAGCTATCTGGTAGGGATCGAACTTGCGTTCCCACTTTGTAAGAGAAATGATCGTTTGATTCGGCATGCTTTACCACTCGGTTTGCAGACACGCAACTGTCTAGCAACTGCTCGTCCTTAGCATGACGATAAACTACATCCGCCAGCAAGGTCTCTGATCGAAACGTTCTGAGGAGCATGAAACCGCCTTTTAATTGTTGTTGTTCCCATGACCCCCACTGATCAGGGTTGGTAGTACCTGTTAGGGCCCCAGATATGGGCAAACAGTTAACCTCCAGACTGGGATCAAAGAACTATGAATGTATAAAGATTTTTATAGTAAAAATACCAGCAATGCATTTTTGCAAAAGAAAGTGCTAAAGATCTTAAGAAAATTAAATTTCGGAATTAAATGATCCATAACGAATTGATATGCTGCTAATGAAAGCAACATACTCCTGGATGCTAAAAATAACTTTATATTTTGCAGCATTATATATTATATTAAACCATTTCTGTACAGAAGATGTTTGAATAAAAGGCTTTAGATGATATATTTTGACTTAAGGAACTTAACCTAATTATTGTTATTATAATAACCAAGGCAGTTTACGGAATGCATTAAATTAATTGGAACGTTTTCCGCATTATTTATGGATTTTTGGAAGATTTTTGTCAATTGGAATAGCTTATGAGAATTAGTATGATAATAATTACTCCATGGTAATATTCATTCATTCTATATCTAAGACTATTTGAATATATCCTTCCAAGTATATATATATATATATATATATATATATATATATATATATATATGTTCAACAACGAAATTATTCGTACACCCATCAATTTTAAATATTTTTGTCCATTTCTCAGAATCTAATGCCAGGTTTTTATAAGTTAATAAGCACAAAAAAGGAATATAAACTCACTTTTCAGAACAATGGATTAAATGCAACAAATGTGATGAGCGAATTATGCAAAATAGGAAAAGACAAAATTATTCGTACTGCATGAAAAATAGAAAAACTTTAACAATCTTCACGATATTCTATTTACATTATTCAGACTATATCGACATCTTTTTCGCCATATTTATTACAACATTTCGGCCGTTGTACGCTCCGGCCTTCTTCAGATGTTTCACCTAGATGAATATTTTATACTGGTAGTTGTAGATTGTCATCCAGAATTTTGATATAGTCTGCAGACTTCACTATTCCTCTTGAGCTAAGACAACCCTAAAACATCATGGAGCCGCCTCAGTGTTTTAATGTTGCCACTGTGTTCTTTGGAAGGAAATCCTCATCTTTTGCGCCAAATCTTCTGTACATCATTATGTCCAAAAAGCTCAATTCTTGTTTCATCACTCCATAGAACTTGTTCCCAAAAGCAATTTTCTTTGTCCAATAACGTTTTGGTAAAGTTAAACCGAGCAACAATGTGACATGCTTTGTAAAGAGGGGTTCGTCGTGGTCGATTTCCATACAACCAATTTCTATTTAAACAACGTATTTTACCCATCGTATCCAAACTTTTGGCGATGTCTTTCAAAACAACTCTTGGGTTTATATTAACTTCGCGAGACAGTTTTCGTGCCGTGTTCGGTGACAATTTGGGTTTCTTCCATGACCAGACAAATTCTCTGTCGTGCCAAATTGTTTAAACATCTTTATAACGGACTCTGCCGTAGATCTAGGGATAGCTAACCGGTTTGAAATAGAGCTGTAACTATATCACGACTTGTGGAAGTTAATAATTCGCTGTCTGAAGTCAACACTAAGCTCCTTTGTCTTCCCCATTGTGTTGTTAATGTAAGAATAAAAATGGCGACACTCTATGCACCCCGTGATGTTCTTTCCTGGAATTATCACAAATATTCTACTGAATAAATAGTGTATAAGGCTTCACCGATGAAATAATTATGTAAATTACTTATACTTACACGAATCAATCAATTTAAAACGATATTTTCTAATGTACAAATAATTTTGTCTTTTCTTATTTTACATAATACGCTTGTCAAATTTGTTGTATTTAACCTATTGTTCTGAAAATTGAGTTTTTTATTCCTTCTTTTTTGTGTTTATTAACATATTAAAAAAAAACTGGCATCATACGGGTATTAGATTCTGAGAAATGTATTAAAATATTCAAAATTGATGCGTGTAGGAATAATTTCGTCGTTGGCTATATATATTTTTCCCTAAATGACTGATGTATTTTATTTCATGATGAAGATACCATATTCAGTTTTATGGCTATAGCATGCCTATCAGTTTGTCACATTCTTTTTTCTCTCATTCTCTTTCTATATCAATATATATATATATATATATATATATATATATATATATATATATATATGGCCTAATGGTTGCATTAAAGTGTAAGAAACAGACTAACATCACTGGTGTTGACCTCACTTTCTAATTTTATATCTTGACACACTCTATCCCTGATATTGTGCACTTTTAGCCAGAATTATAGCATAGATTTAAATTTTATGATATATATATATATATATATATATATATATATATATATATAATCAAATGACCAAACATCAGAATTATGCCAGGCAATCGCATATTGGTTGTTCTGAACATCTATGTATGTACGTATCTATCTCTCTATCTATCTATCGCAATCTTTTTATCTGTATATATAGTTTTCTATCAATCGCTGCATTTTCATATGTGTCAATTTTATTATATTCGTTTCTATCTATTCTATCTATCTATCTATCTATCTATCTATCTATATATATATATATATATATATATATATATATATATATATATATCACTGTCTTTTATCTATCTACCTATCTATGCTCATATTGATCCGTTTCCGAGTATCTATGTATGTCTGTATATATCTATATTCATACTTATCTCCCTATTTATTTATTTCTATCTATTTTTCTATCTATGTTCATATTGATCTGTTTCGGTCTATCTGTGTTCAAACTTATCTCACTCTTTCTTTCTATCTATTTGTATACTGATCTCGCTGTTTCTATCTATCTATATATCTATCTATCTCTCTATCTATCTATCCAATTTCTATTTATATATCTATCACATTATATTTGAATCCCTCTATCCATTTTCTGAAGGCTCTTTTCTCATTTTTCTGACAGATCAATAATTTGTTTATTATTATATCCATTTGTCTACTCTCCTCTTTCAGCATTCGTCTCACTTTATACACACGTACATAAATAGGTGCACATGTTCGCGCGTTTGAACGCTCATCAGTGTCTGTTCGCCTCTTGCTAAGGGAGACTGAATTGCCGTATGGGATATCGCATTAATCTAAGAATAAAATTAATGGCTCCCGCCCGAGCTTCTCACACAACCAGGAGAATTTCGAGGCGTTTGGGGAATTTTCAAAACATCGACTGACACTAGTGAACATTAGAAGAAATCCTAATTCCTTTTCTGTAAATGATTTGACAAGTTAATTTTTCCTTGTTGAAATTCTTCTTTTTTTCTTTCTTTCTTTCTTTCTTTCTTTCTTTCTTTCTTTCTTTCTTTCTTCTTCTTCTTCTTCTTCTTCTTCTTCTTCTTCTTCTATTATTATTATTAGTAGTATTGTTGTTGTTGTTGCTGTTGTTGTTTCTATTGTAGTTGGTGGTGGTGTTATTGTTAAAAATAAGAATACTGCGGAGAGTCCTGAATATTTAATGAGATGCCCGCAGAAAGCCATCGACTGCTCAATAACTTTATTTCGCTTCTTCTTCTTCTTCTTCTTCTTCTTCTTCTTCTTCTTCTGCTTCTTCTTCTTCTGCTTCTTCTTCAGTCCCTCCTCCTCCCCCTCACGCTTCCTCTTCTTTTTTTCTGTTATTTTTCTTATTCCCTCTATTTCATCACACTCCACTTTCTTTCTCCCCATGCTATTTCTCATTTAATCATCATCATCATCATCATCATCATCATCATCATCATCATCATCATCACTTTCTTTCTTTCTTTCTTTCTTTCTTTTTCTTCTTCTCCTTCTCTTTTTTCTCCTTCTTCTTCTTTGTCGACAAAACCTCTGAACTTTATTGTTTATTTTATTTCTCTGAATTTTCCTTTGCCTTTTTTCTTTCCTTTTTCATTACTTTCTA